AAAACATCTGTTACTGCACTAAATGCCACATGAATATCTAACCAGGATACAGCAAAAATAGGTAAAAATTAAACGTCAGATTCTGTGAATGTTTTTGTAAAACTATGAAACACTCATGAAACTAGTCAATTTTAAAAAAAAAAATAAAATTTTTTTTTTTTTGGGGGGGGAAACATGTTAGCAGAAACTGGCAAAAGCAGGACAATAACTCCAACATTTCCTCAAAGCATCTAAAGTCTTAAAATACCACCATATACTTCATTGCAAATACTTTGATTATGACCTTACCCAGTACAACTTGTTAAGATCTAACAGTTACTTCATTTCAGGATTTCACAGGAGCAGTGGGGTTGCCAAGTGGTTAAAGTGTTCGCTTGTCATGACAAAGACCTGACTTTGATTCCCCACATAGGTACAATGTATGAAGCCCATTTCTGTCGTATCCTGTCATGATATTGTTGGAATATTGATAAAAGCAGTATAAAACCTCACTCGTGGGTTTCAATCAAGAATTTTAACCAAGCTGCTGGGTACTATTGGGAGTGATTAAAGAAAGCAGTGATTTAGGCTTAACGACAATTTGAAAAGTATTAAAGTTATATTGAGGCCTGGCAGCAGCATGTGAGAGAAAAGCCTGAAGTGATCCAGATCTCAGACATTTAACACTTTGGTCAACCTGAGCACAGGTATCATGGATAGGGCTGTAACGATGCATCGAACTATCGATGGATTACAATTGTTGAGTTTCCGATAGCAATTAATCAATGGTAGAAACGAAAAACTATCGATGCATCAATAGTATGTGTGACTATCGATACTTTGGTAATTGACTTCCGTTAATAATTCTGCAGCGCAAAATACAAGATGTTTGGGTGCAGACTTGCAGCTTCATTGAGTTTATGTTTTAAGTGTTGACTTGATCTGGGTTTCAAGTTTCTTGTCAGAAGTTTCTTGTACTTCAACTTGTTTTTATTTCATATAAACTATACATTCATTAGGGAAATGACTTCAAATGAGTCAATTCAAGGAGACTATCGATATCGCAATAGTATGTCGCAATAGACTATCTCTATCGCAATAGTTGTTTCCCCCTCAATAGTCACCCCTAATCATGGAATGGTGCTGACAAACCTAGAAACATAAAAGGGTTCAGATGGGATTCAAACCCTCATCACAGGTTTCTAGCGGTGTCTTAGACAACTTCACCACCCATGCCCCCCTAAACTGTTGGTAAGTGTCTGCATAAACAAAAGACAACTTTTTGCACTTTTCAATCTGACACCATACTCATGTACAAGGGTTTAATACTTCACGGAGAGGGAATATGTCTAAAACTGCTTCACTTGGCTCTCCTCCCCTTAACATCTGACAAGCCGTGAGATAACTAAAATAATGTTCAACTGGGCGTTAATCCCAACCAACTGACTCACTCTCAGTATGAACCAGATTAGAATATCCGGAGGTAATTCTGTGCTGGGTGTACTTTGGAAGTCAATATTTTGCACAGTAAATGTTCTTGAGCTAAGCACTTGTTTCAAGCAATTTTGAACTTCCCAATCATCGGAGCAAATCTCATAAAAATTCAGGGTCAGTTTTATGGCGATGGTTTCTGACTGCAATTTAATTAAATTTTCCAAGATTCATCTACTATGGGCAGAAACCACAAAAAAAATAAATTACACAATGTTTCATTCTGCACAAAAAGTGGAACAGGCTAAAAATTCTATATATGGTAATGGAAGCACAGCATTATTGCATTGAGTTAACGTCATACATTCAGAAAGAATCAGATAGAGAATCCTAACAAAAATGTCAGAATTCAGAGTTCACTGTAACCTAGTCAACCATCAACACCCTCAACAGATACATTACTGAATAATATAAATAATGTTATACAAAGCAGGATCTGTCATTGCAATGGTTACAAAATATTTCAGAAATTCTGGTAAATTAACATAACACATTCAAATAGAATCTGATAGAGAATCCCAACGAAAATGTTTAGCGTACAGTAACCTAGTGATACCCTCAACAGATATGTTACGGAATAACAGATAATGTTATACAAAGCAAATGAATTACGAAATATATCTTAAATTCTCCTTTAAATAACAAGCAATGACACCGGTCATTACGTAAGAGTGCATTCAGTCTGGAAATATTTAAGCTTCAATTCAGCTGTTTACCTTAGAAGCAGGCACATAATTGCCTTCACACACTAAAACATGTTCAGCTGTCTGCTGAAGAGCGAAGTGTCTGTTGTTTGAGAATTAACAGTTGGGGTGGACAGAGTACACATTCTCTTTTCCCATACAAAGTTGGCATTGTTAGAATACATTTTAAATGTTTCAATTTTCTCTATTTAATAGCCCCTTGACTTGAAATTCAAGTTTAAATCACAAGCCGAAAAAATTCTGAAATAAAGGGTGAGTGTATAACTTATGTATGTATGACTTCTTTGAGAGGCATTTTAGAAGTTGTAAAGATTAAGGAAAACCAAGTTCTATGGATAGTTAACTTCTATTGCATTGAATGCGATGTTTCAGTGTAGATACTCACACCCTTATCAAGCGATTGATGATAACAGTATTAATATCTCCACCAAAACGTCACATTCATTGCAATAAAGAAGTTGGCTATCCATAGAACTTGGTTTTCCTTTATGTATGTATATGTTGTTATAAAATTGTAGCATTTTAAGTAAATGACATGGGTTTGGGTTTAATAGCACTTTAAACAATTGTCCAGCTACATCATTGAGTGCTAGTTTAAAGAAGGAGAAAAGGCTGAAAAGGCTTAAATGATGCAGATCTCAGATGTTTTGAACGTTGGACAAATCCACCCACACAAGTTTGTGCTAGCAAACCAGAAAACATAGTCAGTATGAACTGAGATTAAAATCCGCCATATCCAATGGACATGGGCGGCGGGGTAGCCTAGTGGTTAAAGCGTTCACTCGTCACGCCAAAGAGCTGGCTTTGATTCCCTTTGTGTGAAGCCCATTTCTGGTGTCCCCCTGCCTTGATATTGCTGGAATATCGCTAAAAGCAGCATAAAACTAAACTCACTCACTCCTATGGACACAACTCTTTCAAACTCTGTGGGACCATCACTGCTAGTAGTTTTAATTAACTGTAGGTATGTCACTACATTTTGTAATGTAACTACAGGAGTTTTAGTAGATGTCATGTATGGAGTCCGTCATACATCAAAATGACTGATTCACCCTGAAGAAGAAATCACTCTTGTGTAAATACGTCACACGAAACTGGGTCAAATCCATTACAGTTTGACCTCTCTGACCACCTCAATGCAGACTGTCCCCTGCCATCATATTGCTGGAATATTGCTAAAGCAACATAAAAGTAAACCTGCTCACACTCACTCACTCTCTCACTCACTGTTCTGGCAGGCACAAAAAACAAATTTCATCTCTGTTTGCTCCAGCTATCATTCTGAAGCCAACCATCCTGATACTCAGAGGAGGTGACATGGAGCTTCAACATCGTGCTCAAGATTACTGTACTTATAAATCGATGCACGTGTTTCTTTGTTTGTTTTTTGTTGATTGGCATGTTGTGTCGTGTAGTGGTGGTGTGGTGGTGTGGTGGAGTGTTTGGTGTATGGTGTGCATCTGGTTTTATGGTGCCAGCTTGCCCAGACCCCTCTCAGACATTGCACACTCACTCCTAGCTGTTAAGTCATTGTTTTACCCTGCACAGTGTTCATGTTGATCACTGGATTGTCTGGTCCAGACTCAATTATTTACAGACCGCCGCCATATAGCTGGAATATTGCTGAGTGTGACGTTAAACAGCAAACAACCAATCATGCCGATGGGCTGGCAGACAATCAAAAAAAGTTTTCTTGCAACATCTTTTGGTATGAGGTGACGATGGGTCAACCAACCAACCTGCTTGCCTGTCAGATTCTCTATCCACAAGACCACAGAGGTCATGTGACCTTTGGCCTCACTACAACTAATTGATATGACTTGTTGAACCTCGTTCTGGTCATTGTCCACCAAAATTTGTCAATGTTAACCTTTACATATCACCGACTTATCACATCACATTCACTACTATAGGTGAGGTGAGGTGAGGTGAGGTGAGGTGAGGTGAGGTGAAATTGGGTTTAACGTCGTGCTTGAGAATATTTCGCTCATATGACGACGTGCATGCGTGTGTATGTGTATGTGCGGCTGCTTGTACTAGCCCAGACTAAAGCTGGTTTATAGTGCTAGCCCACTGAGATACCATGCCGCAGTGAAGCATGAATACTCCACTCAGACACATTATACTGACTCCGACCAGTCCTTGTTGTACCCATTAATTCCCGAGCGCCAGGCAGGGACCAACAAGTACCATATTTTAACGTCTTTTGGTATGACGCGGTCGGGGATCGAACCCGCGACCTTCCGCTCTCTGGGCGGACGCTCTAACCACTACACCACGGAGGCGGTCTTCACTACTATAGAGTAACGGCAGCGGTCTGTAAAGAATCGAACCCGGACCTGGCAATCCAGTCATCAACAGCATGAGCATCGATCTATGCAACTGGGTGTCAACCAAGTCAGTCAGCCTGACAACCCATTACGACAAGCATGGGTTGCTGAAGATCACTTCTAACCTGGATCTTCACCCGGATGAAGTTGTGTAGTCTAGTGTAAGATGTAAAATGAATACACAATGCCATTTAGAAAGTGGTCCTTCCTTGGAAACAACAGTGGCGATGGGACTCAACCCAACAAAAGTACTAGAATGTGTACTTTACTGACAAAGTGTTATCTACATAGAACGTGTTAAGATGTAACAATTACATTTATTAGAGGAATTTTATATTTCTTGTTGAGAATTTGGTACAACGAATACGACTGTACATCCCATGGGACGTAACATATATCTTTTCTGCATCCATTTTGTTCACTTGTGCATCCTGTAAAACCCTTGAGTACAACCAAAAGTTCTATTGATTAAATCCTGAAATCAAGCAAACCTTACCTTTATTTCTTTTACTAAAACTTCAGGTCTTCGAGCATTCTTTAACAGTTTTTCATATTTGTACATGTGTTTCTGAAAAAGAAATCAAATTCACAGGTAACCTCTTTGACATTTTTAAGGTAAATCAGATGAAACAAAAACATTGCGATCTTATTCTGTCATACGCTTTACCTTAAAACTATACCATGTAAACATAAACTTTAATCTAAGACAATAAGAATAACTTATTTTATTAAAGATATTAAACATTAAACCTCTAAGAACCTAATTTTGCCATTTAAACTGTATTTTTAGGGACTTATGTTGTATTCTAAATTAACTGGCCTTTGCTGCTAAATTGGGGAAAAATCATTAATTGTAAAAAAATTGGATTTTGTTTAAACTCTCATTTTCTCCATAGGAGGTATATTAACACTGCATTCAGTCAATAAATGTTAAGCTTGGCTTCAAAGCCTCTTCCTCTTTATTGGTCCTAGTATTAGTTAAATGCAAAGTCACAACATTAGACACAATAGCTATATCAACATGACCTGGGAATTTTTTAAATATCAATTTGGGTATTTTCACATACATTTGCTGTCAAATATAGGCCTCTGAGCTGTTCTAGATAAACTGCTGTATGAGAAATGGTTGTACCGTTATTAATATACAAAAATATGTGCAAAAATATTGCTATGGAATGAATAATCATGGGTAAAAACCCAGGATTATTCATTCCATAGCAATATTTTTGCACATATTTTTGTATATCAATAACGAAAGAGAAATATTAGTCTTTAAACCATATCATAAAAACTACATAGCTAGAGTTAAGTATTCTAAATACAAATATGAATATATCATTAAGATAAAACCGACATCATTGGCTCCAGTGTTATTTCTTAATGTGCATTAGCCATGTTAATTTTACCTGAAAGTATTTCACTTCGGTCTCTTCAAGAATATTTATAACACTCTCAGAATATGATAAGGCCTTGTTTTCAAGATGACGTACATTTCTCCCTAATCAGTACTCCAGGTGGTTTGGGCCTAAGTCATCAGAAAAGATATTCCCCTGATTCTGTGCAAATATTTATGAAGAAATATCTCAACATTTTCTTGATAAAATACCAGCTGATTACATGTTCAAGATATTGGATCCCACTGCAGGTGGATGTCAATGCCAGTACAAGAAACGTGCACATATTACTTTTGCCTAGCAACCATTGTTTCTGTATTTCGTCATCTGTGACGTCATTAAACAATTGAACGTGATGTCAATAAAGACCATGTTTTACTGCACAAATGTACATGAATGAAATGGATAACAATTGTAAAGAAATTTATACACTCAAACAAGTGTTTCATATGACTTATACAAAACTGGTGCAAAATTGTGCATCATTACAAAATTCCCCACTCGTTTCATATAAGTTGTAAGACACACTTGCTCGTGTAATAATCTCTATATACAACATATTACCAAGCATAGGGACAATGAGTTTAACAAGTTTCAGGCTTTTATGGTTGATTTTATTAGTCTAGACATTTAATGTCTTAAATAGAGTCTCAATGTAGAAAGATCCATCTGATCATCTGAATTAAACATTAAACGATATGCTACACATAGTGTTTTCTACAGAAGTATGGCATTAAGCTTGAGCCTGTAAGGAAGTTTCAGTTTTGGGACAACTGCTTCATTTCAATAGGCTGAACTAAACATTTAATGCAGTATACATAGGATGACTGTGACACCTCCTACACATGCTATCCACTGAGTATGACCTGGCTGACATTAGCACTATCACCCTGATGAACGGAACTGGGATTACTCTGACGTACACGCGGCATAAGTTGTGCACAACAACGTAAAGCCCAGACTCAACGAGGAAGCAAGTAGATTCTCAGATGTTTGGGGATTAAGCTTTGAGCGAACTGGGCCATAATGTCGTCCATGTCCACCTGGTTCTTGAACAAACTTGTAAAACTTACATATTTTAAAAGGGAAGAGAGGCTGAAGCTGTATCTAGTACTCTCCACTGGTGGCAATATAATAGTCTGCAACAAGTGTCAGTATATGATTTCCAAACACTCCACCAACCTGTCCCAAACACTCCACAAACCTGTCCCAAACACTCCACCAACCTGTCACAAACACTCCACCAACCTGTCCCAAACACTCCACACACCTGTCCCAAACACTCCACCAACCTGTCCCAAACACTCCACCAACCTGTTCCAAACACTCCACCAACCTGTTCCAAACACTCCACCAACCTGTCACAAACACTCCACCAACCTGTCACAAACACTCCACCAACCTGTCACAAACACTCCACCAACCTGTTCCAAACACTCCACCAACCTGTCACAAACACTCCACCAACCTGTTCCAAACACTCCACCAACCTGTCACAAACACTCCACCAACCTGTTCCAAACACTCCACCAACCTGTTCCAAACACTCCACCAACCTGTCACAAACACTCCACCAACCTGTTCCAAACACTCCACCAACCTGTTCCAAACACTCCACCAACCTGTTCCAAACACTCCACCAACCTGTTCCAAACACTCCACCAACCTGTTCCAAACACTCCACAAACCTGTCCCAAACACTCCACCAACCTGTCACAAACACTCCACCAACCTGTCACAAACACCTGTCACCAACCTGTCCAAAACACTCCACCAACCTGTTCCAAACACTCCACCAACCTGTCAAGCAAACTCCTCCACAAAACCTGTCCAAACACTCCACCAACCTGTTCCAAACACTCCACCAACCTGTCACAAACACTCCACCAACCTGTCACAAACACTCCACCAACCTGTTCCAAACACTCCACCAACCTGTTCCAAACTCTCCACCAACCTGTCACAAACACTCCACCAACCTGTCACAAACACTCCACCAACCTGTCACAAACACTCCACCAACCTGTTCCAAACACTCCACAAACCTGTCACAAACACTCCACCAACCTGTTCCAAACACTCCACCAACCTGTCACAAACACTCCACCAACCTGTCACCAACACTCCACCCAGCTGTCACAAACACTCCACAAACCTGTCACAAACACTCCACCAACCTGTTCCAAACACTCCACCAACCTGTCCAAACACTCCACCAACCTGTCACAAACACTCCACAAACCTGTCACAAACACTCCACCAACCTGTCCCAAACACTCCACCAACCTGTTCCAAACACTCCACCAACCTGTCACAAACACTCCACCAACCTGTCACAAACACTCCAAAACCTGTTCACTCCACCAACCTGTCACAAACACTCCACCAACCTGTCCCAAACACTCCACCAACCTGTCACAAACACTCCACCAACCTGTTCCAAACACTCCACCAACCTGTCACCAAACACTCCACCAACCTGTCCCAAACACTCCACCAACCTGTCACAAACACTCCACAAACCTGTCACAAACACTCCACCTAAACTGTCAACCTGTCACAAACACTCCACCCACCTGTCACCAAACACTCCACCCACCTGTCCCAAACACTCCACCAACCTGTCCCAAACACTCCACAAACCTGTCCCAAACACTCCACCAACCTGTCACAAACACTCCACCTAAAACACTCCACCAACCTGTCCAAACACTCCACCAACCTGTCCCAAACACTCCACCCAACCCTGTCCCAAACACTCCACCAACCTGTCCCAAACACTCCACCAACCTGTCCCAAACACTCCACCCAAACCTGTCCCAAACACTCCACCCACCTGTCCCAAACACTCCACCAACCTGTCCCAAACACTCCACCCACCTGTCCAAACACTCACCCACCTGTCACAAACCTGTCCAACCAAACACTCCACCCACCTGTCCCAAACACTCCACCAACCTGTCCCAAACACTCCACCAACCTGTCCCAAACACTCCACCTGTCCCAAACACTCCACCCATCTGTCCCAAACACTCCACCCCTGTCAAAACACTCCACCCACCTGTCCCAAACTCCACCCACCTGTCCCAAACACCCACCCAAACCTGTCCCAAACACTCCACCCAACCTGTCCAAACACTCCACCCAAACACTCCACCAACCTGTCCCAAACACTCCACCCAACCTGTCCCAAACACTCCACCAACCTGTCCCAAACACTCCACCAACCTGTCCCAAACACTCCACTCCAACCTGTCCCAAACACTCCACCCACCTGTCCCAAACACACACCTCCACCAACCTGTCCCAAACACTCCAAACCCAGCTGTCCCAAACACTCCACCCACCTGTCCCAAACACTCCACCCACCTGTCCCAAACACTCCACCAACCTGTCCCAAACACTCCACCCATCCTGTCCAACAACACTCCACCCACCTGTCCCAAACACTCCACCCACCTGTCCCAAACACTCCACCAACCTGTCCCAAACACTCCACCAACCTGTCCCAAACTCTCCACCCACCTGTCCCAAACACTCCACCAACCTGTCCAAAACACTCCACCAACCTGTCAAAACACTCCACCCACCTGTCCAAACCTCACCCACTGTCCCAAACACTCCACCCACCTGTCCCAAACACTCCACCCAGCTGTCCCAAACACTCCACCCACCTGTCCCAAACACTCCATCCATCTGTCCCAAACACTCCACCAACCTGTCCAAACACTCCACCCAGCTGTCCCAAACACTCCACCCACCTGTCACAAACACTCCACCCACCTGTCACCAAACACCTGTCCAAGACACCCACCTGTCCCAAACACTCCACCAACCTGTCCCAAACACTCCACCCACCTGTCCCAAACACTCCACCAACCTGTCCCAAACACTCCACCCACCTGTCCCAAACACTCCACCCACCTGTCCCAAACACTCCACCAACCTGTCCCAAACACTCCACCCAGCTGTCCCAAACACTCCACCCACCTGTCCCAAACACTCCACCCACCTGTCCCAAACACTCCACCCATGTGTCCCAAACACTCCACCCACCTGTCCCAAACACTCCACCCACCTGTCCCAAACACTCCACCCACCTGTCCAAACACTCCACCCACCTGTCCCAAACACTCCACCCACCTGTCCCAAACACTCCACCCACCTGTCCCAAACACTCCACCCAGCTGTCCCAAACACACCATGCCCATGTCCCAACCAACCCTTGCCTCCTATTACCTTCCCTGTCACTATCATCCCACACTACCATTACCAAACTACCTTCCCCACCCACATCTCCAACTCTCAACCAATCAACAGCCTTTCTCCTACTGTCCTCCTATATCCAATGTGGACATGATCAATAATCCCAGCCAACACTTACCTTCCACTGAATAGAGTACAACCACTGATCCCTCAGGTAGCCATTGTGGGCCTGAAATGAATACCATGCATCGATTAATCAGAAATGAAACACAAATATTTAACTTCTCCGTCGAGAACACTGTCAGCGATTAAGCAGGGCCCTGAATTTCAGCAACCGTAAACGAGCTGTCCTGAGTATTGACGATTATGTAAACAGACTATACCATAATAAACTGCAAGATCTTCACTTCATACGAAAAGGCCATGTGCACTTTCTTACTTTACTTTCAACAAAACAATCTTCATAAATTGTATTTTGATATTTGCCAGTACTACCAAAATTTCGATGTTCCAGTAAAATGCATTACCTTTCAAAATATATTTGCCATCTGTGGAGTTTCTGATAAAAACAAAACTTATAACCAAGCACAAATCATAAGAAAAAAGTCAAATTATATAGTGCCACATCAAAGGTAACAAGCATGTATGCTGAAACACAGAAAATATGACGTTCAAATGATGAAAGTCTGCAGGCTATCCGGTATGCTTCATTTCTATGTCAGAAATGGAGGTTCAAAATGCCAAGGTGCCATGAATAAATAATGCACATATCTTGTTACAAATAAATATCATGGTAAATGTTAAACCGGTAATAGCATGGAATTTGGATAAAACACAAACTACAATGTGCATGACCGACTGACAACATATACCAAATGCTGATATTTAAGCATCACTTTATTTACCTCATAATTATCATGATTAATGATGCCTCAAATTTTCCTTCATACAAAAAATATAGAAAATATAGTTTCTTGACATGTTGCCATGGTTTCGGTGATGAAATATCTCACTGGCCATTTTGACAAACTCTTGTTAATTAAAGGCTAATTAATGTGTCTAATTTTGGTAAATATCTCACAATAAATCAAGTCATATTTCAAATCCTACCAAAAAAGTCCCACTTTGATGAATTTATCACAAATAGTCTCAATGATGTCAGATTGGAATCTTTCATCTGAGAACTCTTAGATCAAACACGTAAGCTCGGCAAGCGCCATGAGGGAACATTCCCCCAGAAAAGTCTGCTGATAGATCTCAATCTTGAAGGAAGGTAGTTAGGACGAGAATCACCTGGGAATGTATATCAAGCAAATATCATGTTATATCCTAACTGTTACATGGGAAGAAATGTTTGCCCAAAGATGTGAATTTTGAAGTACATCAGTTTGGACCAGATTGTATTATTACCTTGGAATATATATCAAGAAATATGTTATATCCCAACTGTTGTATATTAAGAAAATGATTGGAGTCTGTACATCATAATGAATACAGTAAACTATAATCAACTTATGTTTTAGTCACTGAAACATGATTTATGATTTAGTTGAAAAGCACTGTCATAACAAAATTAGTGGACCTTTTAGTTTGTTTTAGCCATAGTTTACAAATATTACTTGAGTATAATTCATTGAAAATATCAACTAAGGTATTATTCAAAACCAATATTACCAAGGGTGTTATTTAATGTCAATGTTATCAAATGTATCATTTAAAACAAATATTACCCAAGGATTCATCAAATACAACTGTTACCTAACCTAGTATTATGGACATTAAAAATGATATTCTTAATGAAGTGAGTGAGTGAGTATGGTTTTACGCCGCTTTTAGCAATATTCCAGCAATTAATCACGGCGGGGGGCACCAGAAATGGGCTTCACACATTGTACCCATGTGGGAATCGAACCCGGGTCTTCGGAGTGACAAGCAAACGCTTTAACCACTAGGCTACCCCACCGCCCCGCCCCCTCTTAATGAAGCATATGTTCTAAACTTCTTTTTCATATGATTAAAGTGACAATGGAGATTTTATATATCAAACTAGATCAGCTACATTATCACCAAGAGGTTCCAATCATCACATGTTTTATATGTCACCAAACACCAAATCCCTACTAAGTTTAGTCTAAAGATGATTGCAGTTTCAAGAAATATCAAATTAAAAATTAACAAAACTGGTACAGCGAACAGGTATAGTTTTACACTGCTGTTAGCAATATTCCGGCAATACCATGACAGGACACAAGAAATGAGCTTCACACATAAAACATGTTTAACGCACATGAGGAATCGAACCTGGGTCTCTGTAGGACAAGCAAAGACTTAATCCACTAGGCTACACAGCAATCCCTACATACCTGCAGTAATAAATGAGCTTCACACACTAAACATGTTGAACCCATCTGATGAATCAAACCTGGATCTCTGGTGTGACTAGCAAACACTTAAACCACTAGGCTACACGACAATCCCTACATACCTGCAGTAATAAATGAGTTTCACACACTAAACATGTTGAACCCATCTGATGAATCAAACCTGGATCTCTGGTGTGACTAGCAAACACTTTAACCACTAGGCTACACGGCAATCCCTACATACCTGTAGTAATAAGGATCCATCTTGTATGGTAATCCGTATACAGAACTTTTGACCAGCATCCCATCGAGATATTATGTGCACATCTTCTATTCCAGAATATTGTACTCCAAGCTCCATGAAGCCGTAAGGCTGAAACAAAACATACAACATAATTACACTTCAGTAATCATACACTGTTCATATGAAACTAGACTAACACTGAGTCACTGAAATTAAGTGAGTGAGTGCACGAGTTTGGTTTTATGCCTCTTTTAGCAATATTCCAGCAATATCACACCGGGGGACACCAGAAATGGGCTTCACACATTGTACCCAGGTGGAGAATCAAACCCAGGTCTTCTGCATGACGAGCGGATGCTTTAGCCATTAGGCTAAACCACCACCCCGAAACCTGTACAGTGGGAATACCACAAGGAAGATGCTGAAGATGCTGAAGACGTTGAAAACCGAGGGCTTCTCCAACCCTGAATATTTATATTTAAACCCGAAGCCGAGGAGAAGTGTTTGCTTTGACTTATTTACTGTAGAAATAGTGAGTGAGTGAGTTTAGTTTTACGCCGCACTCAGCAATAGTCCAGCTATATGGCGGCGGTCTGTAAATAATCGAGTCTGGACCAGACAATCCAGTGATCAACAGCATGAGCATCGATCTGCGCAATTGGGAACCGATGACATTTGTCAACCAAGTCAGCGAAACTGACCACCCGATCCCGTTAGTCGCCTCTTACGACAAGATAGTCGCCTTGTTATGGCAAGCACATGGGTTGCTGAAGACCTATTCTACCCCGGAACTTCACGGGTCTACTGTAGAAATAACATATATTGATATTTGTTAAATATCTAAGGGTATAAAAATACATTACAATCTATAAAATCTATTAAGGATGTTAGTAAAATCTTGCCCGGAAATATATACGTTATTCTTGGTACATGTACCTTATGATGAACCAACTACTTTGAACCAGTTCTGTCGATTAATGTCGAGTTTAGTTTTACACCATTTTTAGCAATATTACAACAAAATCACAGAGACACTAGAAATGGGCCTCACACATTGCAACCATGTGGGGAATTGAACCCAGGTCTTCGGCATGACAAGCGATAGCTTTAACCACAAGGCTACCCCATCCAGCTCTCTTGGTCTTACAAAGAAAAAGTGAAACATCATGACAGGTCTTACTGAATACTGAAAGAACTGTTTGGTTCAATAGCCTAGAGGTTTATGAAGGCTAAACCATGTACCCATGCACACTGACACATTATCCAGTGAAAGTGTGTGTATTTATACAAGCATTCTGTATGCAGCCTGGCAACACTTCCAGCCTGTTTTCCTCGTCCCTGACCCAAGCAGATCAGAATCCAGACATTTTATTCCCATTCTATCAGCTCAAGTAAATAAAGTGTCCCATATGACCTGTAAGTGCTATACACAGCTGACAACTCAGATCTCAATCTTGGTGGTCTTGCCGACAGTTTGGCCTGCTTATATCTGAGTACTGTTACTGAATGACTGGGGTTTAGGCTAACAACTAGTCTCTGAAATGAACATATTTTACAGGGACAAAAAGCTCACAGTAAAAAAAAAAAATATAATGTAAAGGAGCCCTGAGACTTTCTTCATTTTCAGAAGCTGTGGAAATCTAGACTTGCCACAGTTTCTAGACTTGTGTGGACTTTCTTGGATATATTTGCTTCAGGGTCTGTATGACAGACTAGACTGGGGTTCAATATGGTTGTGCTTAAATTGAAGTACTTTTAAATCATTTTAGACCTGAGTAGGACTCAGGTGCTTTGACTTAGTTGATAGTATGTCTTAGTACTAAGGATGGCTATCGATAATAGTTAACTAAATATTGATCGATTAACAATAAATATCAGAGAAGTAAATCAAAAAGAAATCTGAAAGAAATCATCACATTTCACATCACCAGTGAGTGTTGACATATTAATGCATAGAATAACAAAACAGTGTTCTGAACATAATTAGGAAACAATCCCTAAATAAAGACATGACTGTGTATGTACGAGTAAAATAAAACTATATTTCACAACAATAGGTTATGTATGATATTCGCAATTACACAATTTTCATATCTATAATCATTGAGAATTCTCCTCATAAACAATATTTCGGATTATACATTTTTTTAGCCAGCCCTACATTGTACCCAGATGATGTGAATCCAGGCCTAGATTTTCAAAGCTCTTTAGCTAAGATAGTCGTAAGTGCCATACATTAACATTAACTTCTACTTAACTATCTTAGGGCTAAGAAGAGTTTTGGAAAATCTAGGCCCAGGATCACATCATCAATCACCAGTTGGTCTGGTCTAGATTTCTTTATTGGTTGACAGGCATCACATGCATAAAATATTGCTTCGTTAAGCATTTAAAGTGAGTGAGCTTTTAGCAATATTCCAGCAATATGCACGGCGGGGGAGACCAGAAATGGACTTCACATATTATACCCATGTGGGGAATCAAACCCGGGCCTTCGGCATGACAAGCAGACGCTTTAACCACAAGACTACTCAACCGCCCCCAAGCATTGAAAAACAAAGGAAGCAGCTTGGTAGTGCTTAATACACACAGACCTGAGTAATAATGTCACACGACAAACATCTCCAAATTCTATTCATTGGTTCTGGGTTAGACAGTCATTTGGTCAGTACCTCAGTACTCAAAACAGGATAGCCTGGAGTTAAACTGCTATTATCTCAATGCTCTATACAAGTGTTCTCAGGTTAAATTATCAGCGGCTTTTATTGCAGAACTCTATACAAGGTGATCTGGGTTAAATTTGTCTTGACCAATCAGATATCATTATTCAGAGCTGAGCAGTAACGGTTCGTATGTCCTCCCATTATGGTTGTATAGCTGCTGAAGAGCACACCAACAATACAGAGGGTCAGTTACTGAGACAAGCCTCACAGGCATGCTTTAATTAAAACCTGATACCTCCTATTTACCTTAGATATATCTATATCCTACATATCCCAGACTATAAACAATGATCATCTTGAGAATGACCAATCAGTTAACTGAAATAAAGGCACATGATCTGTGACCTCCCTCAGATTACACTTATGCTTAGTCTCCTAAAAATTGACATTTTCATAGAAGCTGAAAAATTCACTGAAATTGAAAAGGAGCCCTTGTGAGCTGGGAGTTTCCTGAACTAGACCAAATGCTCAGCCCACAATTTGGATGCTTGTGTGTGTGTTATGAGTATAATACTCACACTCAAGTTGCTAAACTAAATTGGGAATTAACAGTTTCTCACTTCGAATGATTAATTTTGAATAATTTGAATTCAAATAATGTACACATTAATATCATATTATATTTACTTGAATAATGTTTGGGGAGAAATCTCAGTATATTCACTAACATTTCACCATAATCTCTTTGAAGAATAGGTCAGTTTGTTGTTTTACGCTGCACTCAGCAATATTCCAGCTACATGGCAGCGGTCTGTAAATAATTGAGTCTGGTCCAGACAACCCAGTGATCAACATCATGAGCATTGACCTACACAACTGAGATACAATGACATGTGTCAACCAAGTCAGCGAGCCTGACCACCCGATATGACAAGCATGGGTTGCTGAAGACCAATTCTAACCTGGATCTGCACGGTTTTGAAGAAGAGGAGAATTACGGATATTTTATGGAATTATGTTAAGTGGCAGTTAAGTATAATTATACCTGCCTATACACAAGCCTGATGCTGTAATCAGTTCAACAGCCAAATAGCTTGTATAATTAATGTACAGAACAGAAAAGATCAGAGATCATGTACATATTTTGGGACAAAGCTTTGAAAGTACTTGCTCAGTCTTCATTATATTCATTACACGAAATAGATCTAAAAAACTATTCATGTTCCCATATTTCTTTTGTTGAGTATAGCTTTCACAATTACAGACTCTATCACATCACATTCAACAAACAACATATCATGTGACAAAACATATCTGCCCATACATCCTGCAGCAGGATTTTCCTGTTTATTTCCATGAAGTGCTAATCATGAAATTATTGTGAGCATGAAATTAATCTGAAAAACTTGAGCGTCCTTGCTCGCATTAATAATATCTGGTCCTATTGAAGAATAATATTACCCTGTCTGGTCCACTGCATGTGGACAGCCACAATTACATACATAACAAAGATAACATTAAACACTATAATTGACTGCTAAACTTAGGCACTGTTTCTCATAAAGATCATTGTCATTGTGCTGGCAGTTTGTCCACACAAGTTGATCAAACTGTTCTGACAGTCACCAATCATGTATGACAGAGTCTTTGTTCCTGGTAACCTTGTCCAACACTCTGATAATCTTGAGCAAAATATTATTCAGACATGTAGTGAAGACATCAATTAGGCAAAATAAAAAAACGATTACAGCTCTTTAAAATTTAGGGTAGGTAGGTAGGTAGGTAGCTAGGAATACGTTTTTTACATTTTTTTAAAAGTAAAGTACACCCTAATAACACATTTATCAATGTGTAATTGTTTTTTTAATCAAACTTGCCGCCATCAGGTCGACTTTCTCTATCTGAACCCGGGTTCGATTCCCCACGTTTCACCACTGGGTTACCCCACAAGTGGTGAAAGTACAAGTGGTCTTTAAGTATTCTCCAGGTTTCTTTCCAAGCCTTGTACATAAATAAATAAATAAAATAAATAAATAAATAAATAAATAAATAAATAAATAAATAAATAAATAAATAAATAAATAAATAAATAAATAAATAAATAAATAAATAAATAAATAAATAAATACATAAATAAATAAATAAATAAATAACTAACTAAATACAAAGAAAGAAAGAAAGTTGTGTTCCCCTATTTGTTTCCCTCAGTATATTACCGCTATTGCCTGGAATCGTCCCAAGTGACATCAACCATGCAGCAACAACATGGCTGCTGACAACATTAATTCACAGTCCAGTTCATCTCGATACAATAACACACCAGATCGATCATATTACAGGAGATAATCCATTAGAGAAATACACAATAATACATGTTATTATGGTGTTAACATTTTATATCACTGCATTAATCAACGTTCAAAGTTGCATCCACCATGTGGAAACAACCTGGTTGGTTACAGACCA